ACCGGTATTACAAACAACAAAACAGGTAAAATAATAATATCATTGTGTATTATACCATGTTGTCTGTGTATTGATGACCATTGCTGCATTCTAAAATAATAATCACAAAGTAGGGTAACAGCAAAATTAATGCTACTAGCACTTACGAAGAAAGCTTTCATCCTCTACTTTAGTACTTGACAACTTAATAGGCATAGCAGGCAACAGGAAGTCCTGTCATAACCATGCAACTGAATATTTATCAATGATTATACATGCATACTTTGAGTGCCTCTGGTGATGAAAGAAAATTTGATAACATTCTAATATGTCCCGTCTTTTTGTTAGTTAGAATGGTAAGAACTGAGTGGACAACTATCATTTGATAGATTAAATCTTCATGCTCATCTTTTCTAGCCTGCATTGAAGGGAAGACAATACACTGCTGATTTTTAAGGAGTTCTTCAACCATATACAAAATCTGTTAAAACCAAAAAATTCAAATAATTTGAAAACATCATTATGAAAAGCTAACTTCTTGGTCTTTTGTAAAAAGCTGACATGTTTTAGCAAAATTACTAAATTTCTCTATAATCTATTTTTAAATAATTATAATTTTACAGAAAGTTTATTTACTTCTGGTGAAAGTTTCTTGGAAGGAATATCTGTTGCATAGCTTAATTTTACTCTTTCAAACAAAGCTAATGCAAGGGGAACAGTGAATGTAGAATCAAGACTCTATCAAATAAATAAATATAATTATAACAATGAACTGTACATACAGTAACTGTTTGATTTAGCTCATCAAAATCCCCCTTTGTAGCTCTACTAACAGCAGATCTGATGGCTTGATAAGTAGGATTGTATACAGCAACAATGTCCATAAATTCTTCATCCTGTAGATTGATTCATTTCACTAAAAAACAATATAAAATGAATGTTACTTGTCTAAAGTTTTCAGCTGGTAAAATCCATTTAAAATAAATGTTTCTGAATATTCTCATTAATGATATGCTACCAAAAATTTTTACAATGTAACGAATGAGATACCAGAATGGCCCTTCTGTAGTTTGATCATCATTAAGATCGCTTGACAGACAGTAGCTTTTAGCTACATTAAAAAGGTAAGGGTCAGCTTCCATATCAAAAAATGGACTATGCACTGATTCATGAATATTTTTTGCTAAAACTTCAAGTCCTTTTGTAAACTTTGCAACTGCTAACCAGCATTGTGATGACAATGCTCCATTATTTTTGCACTTCATCAACAATCTATGTCCTTCACCTAACAAACTGTCAGCAACAAATATAATTTCCTCACTCTGCATTGATGCAGCCTATATAACATTCAAAATAAATGTATGAGTTAAGAATTTGTAAGTTAGTTATACTTTTATATTTGCAAGGAATATCCCAATAAAGCTTTCAATGCTTGGTGAGCTAATCTTTTCCATGATATCATCCAGTTTACTTTGTATAGTGTTATACCTAAAATGTTCTATAAAAGTAAAAAACAAAGATATAAACTTACTCATATTGCAAAATTAGCTTAATTGTAAAGGACTGTAAATAAGTTATTTCTTCCGTATGATTTTGCAAATAGGTACAAAGCTTTTTATCTTTGACATTTTGAGCAGTGGAAAATACAGCCTGAATTAGAGTGTCTACCAAATCTTCATTGAGGATATTTCCATCAATGCAAAGTGAAGACAAAACTTCTAAGAAGAAAGACCAACAACTTTGCTTAATCATTTTCTGTTTTGCTGCTTCCCTACAATGCAATGTCAAGTTTCATGGTAGTTTGTAATTAATATCTTACAGTTTTTTTAATTCTGGATCTTTCTCAATTCCAGAAAGTAAAAATGCAACAATGTTTAGGGTATTAGAATTTTTAAAGTCTTCAATTTTTTTTGAAAACTATAATTAAAATTATCATAATCAAAATTGATAGGTCTAACTAACTTTCTCAATTCTTCTGGCAAAAATTATTGTTTCTTTCTGATTTTGCAATACAACATACTCAAAGAAGAGTTTCATTACACAAACCCATTGCCATTTTAGGCTAAACATTAAAAAATATATTCATTGTTATCATTTTACAAAAGAAACTATTTTTAGCTTACAGTACTTCGGGAGGTACAATCGTACATTCTCCAACAATACTAGAAATAATTTTATGTGAATCATACTGCTTCTGCATCCATCCTTGTAATGATACTTCTTTCTCACTTGTCAGTGGAACTTGCACATCTAAGAATGGACTATCTAACACTATCTCCAATGCCTCAATTAGTAAAATCTATAAAAATATGTAAAAAAATTTAAACTATTATTTTTTTTACCTGAATATGTGAATCATTTGTCTTTGAACTTATTTTGAGAACGGTAGATGGCACAAGCATTATAAGCTCAGAAAACAAATCAAAAAATAACTTGTTTTCAAAATAAACCCTTTGAACATTAACAACTATTTGAAACAGTGAAGTGACATTAAGCTCATCAGAAAAGGATATTCCTGACATAGCAATCATACATTTCTCTAAAACCTAGAAAGGATTATTACTAAATTTATTAACTAATAGTACCTCATAATATTCTTCTTTCAGTGCTTGTCCTTTAGTGTCCAAAAGATGAACAAAGTCATGCACATAAAACCTTGCAAGGGAGCTAATAGTAGTTTCCGGTAAGCTTTCAAAACTTTGAAATAAACCATAGTCTTGTAGTATTGTAATAAGCTCCTCAGTATCTGTCAAAAATATAATATAAAAAATTTTGTCAAATTACCAGTGTACCTTTACTAGGATTTTCGTTGACAATATCATTCAAAATCCAGCAAAATGGAAATTGACAAAAAAATTGCTTTGCAGAAGTAGCATTAATACTGAAACTATCATCTGGTATAGATTGAAGTTTTGACATTATCATCTGGGTGACATAATCAGAGTTGTACAAATTAAGCCACAATTGTTCTAACTCAGTTTCAATTTTTGATAGTAACTTCAAATTAGAATATTTATCAATAACAGAGATTATCTTGGCAAAAATTGGAATGATAATATCATCAAATTTTCTCACAACTGCGTTTTGAAATGTTCCAGCTTCTTGAAGCTTAGTCATATTCATAGATTCGTCTAATATCCACTTTTGTTGAGCATTTGTACTCTCTTTCAACTCTCTATCCTTGAGTATGCCCTTAATTAGACGAATAGTTTGTGAATGAAATGTGATTTTATCTGAGAAAAAAATTGAGTTGAAACTAAAAGTACAATTAGATCTAACCTTTACTAAGTGGGAAAAGTATTTTTTGCGGAATGATTTGTGAAAGTTGGTTAACTTGATCGGGATTTGATGCAGCTTTTGATATTTGTAAATACATTCGCTTACAAAGATTGATTCTTTGAGGCTCTGAACATGGTAGTAGTTGATAACTTTTGAACAACTGACTGTCACTTGACATCACTATCATCAATTGAAAGATCAGTAATGTCATGTTTCATTATCATCATAATAAATGTCGCTCATAGAGCACACTTCACCACTAAGGATCTGATTTAAAGGTACTGAA